ATTGTTTTTTAATATCTGTAATTATAATATAGGTCGATAAATGTAAAATAAAATGTAGTTATTAAAATGATATTCAGTTGATGGCAGACGTTTGTGTCGTGTTGACAATGCAAAATGGCCGCAAGTTTAATAACATTCGAAAACGATAACTTGTTAAATAACGAATGCACAAAGTATGTTTTTAACTAATTATCAAACAGTAACAATATGATAAAGTGTATCAACAAGAGTGCGGTAAATTTCTGCTATGACTAGAGTCTCCAAACGAACAATAGACCGATATAGGGGTGAAGGTAAAAATGTGTCACTGGTAATTCGCATAAAAAAACCGGTTATTCGAATAGCAGTAAGAATAAACACGATAAAGGTACTCACTCTAGAATAAAAGAAGTAGGGCTCGGTTTTTTTATAGACAACGTTCATCCAACCCTTTAGATTAGATTAGATTAAGAGTGGTGGCCTTTCGGCCTATTCCACTACGACCTTTTCAGATCTATTGTGGCCCTCTAGTCCTAGACAACATTCTCTAGCCTGGCCCTCTTTATAAAGCTCAGTAGCTTCGAGATCTGTACCTTCATGTAGCTGTTTGCCGGTGGATTTTCTTCTCCTAATGCAAAAAACCGCACATTATGCCAGACTGTCACACTGACATAAAATGTGCTCTGTCGTTTCTTCTTCGAGGTGACAGATTCTGCACAGGTCATCATCTGATAATCCCATTAGCTTCAAGTGCCTATTCAGCTTAAAGTGCCCTGTTAGAAGACCTACTATGGCTTTGACTGTTTTCCTATCTTTGCTAATTAGGTCTGCCGTAAATTTTAGCGAATGTTCTCTAATGAACTTGTTTCGCCTGTCTTTGTCCTGGTGAAATTCCTCCACCATTTCAGAGATTTGTGAGCTACCCACTTCTTTGTAGCCGTTCTTGTTACCTGGACTTTGGCAACGCCGCAGAAGGGTTCCGGTCCAATGAATTTCATTGATGAGCCTTGTTTGGCCATCTTCATTCTGCTTTTTCATTGCCCTTATTACCCTCGTGCCCCGGTACCAGGCATACCGTAACCTTGCTACGGTCTCCTAGTTTATTTAGGGCACACACGCAATCCATACTAGCTTAGTAATTGACCTCTACAGAATTGAGTGCCTTAAGCGCTGCCTGACTATCTGTGAAGATGTGCACACTGAACAGAACGTTCTTTCCTGCCTTTCTATCTTCTTCAACACAGCTGATGGATTGCAGTTATTTCCGCTGGAAAACTGTCACATCCTTAGATAGACTTAACCGGGAAATGTATCCCTTGATTTGTCCCTACTATGCCGGCTCCAACACCCTCCAAGTTTTTTTGAGCCATCCGTGTTGACCAGGTAGCAGCAGCTTTTATGGGTACCCCTTTATTCCACTCTTCCCTGCCCGGTATCTTAATTGTGAATTTATTGTTAAAGCTATATTCTAGTAGCTGTTACATCGATAGGTTTCCCCATCACAATATCGGCTTTTTAGCTCCTCAATTAGCTTTCTGTTGTCAGTACCATGCGTTTGGCTTATATGTCGCTGACTATGGATTAATCTGTGCATCACTGATCTGGCTTCGCCCTGTATAAAGATATGAAGTGGTGGTAAATTCAACAGGGACTTCCACACGATGGCAGTAGGAGTATGTTTTTATGGCCCCGTAATACACAGGCATGCTAGCCTTTGTGTACTACCTAGCGCCTTATTGCTCCCACTTGCTTCGTCTTTGTCCACCACGTCACCGAGCCATAGGTTATCATGGGTCTAATAACCCTTGTATATAACCATAGAGGCCATTTTGGAGTTTAGCCCCCAATTCTATACCGCACATTCTTCTACATCTGCCCAGGGACAATAGTAGCTTTCTGTGTGGTTTTTATAATATGAGTATTCCATGTAAGCCTATGATCAAAATATAACCCCAATGGTATTTTGTTTTCTTTGGCAAATGAAATCTCTGTTCTTCCCAGCACCGGTGGTTTTAGGCCTTGTAGTGCTGTTTTTCTTGGTAAAGTTGACGATTTGTGTTTTCTCGAGCATTGACTATCAGCCTCTCTCTTCTTTACACCAGTCGTCAACTATATTTAGGGCTGCTCAAATTCTCCCCAGACACCACCTGAGCAAACCTGCCCCTGACGACAATTGCTATATCGTCAGCATATCCTAGACAATAAAAGCCTTCTGTTGACAAATTTCTGAGGAGATTCATCTACCAAGTTTGCCCAAAGTAGAGGGGACAGAACTCCCTCCTTGTGGAACTGCCTCCACCTACTTTTGCTTTGATGGTTGCTTTACCCAGAGTGGACATTACTATTATATTCTCTAGGGATGCCCTTATCCATCTGCATATTACCGCAGGTGCGCCTCGTCTACTCATAGCTCCTCATCCAACCCTTAATGTAGTACTAGAAAAAAAATAACGATACGGAGCACCTTCCGAATTTGACTAAGAGTACATTAAGAAAACTATTGCACGACGTTGGTTTTCTATATGGCAGAAAGGTTAGAAATTCAGTATTATTAAAAAAAAAAAACAAGAAATAGCCGCTTGAAGGCGTCTCTTTTTGGGGAAATAAAGAAACTGATTAATCAAGGAGCCAATATCATAGAGACGAATCGTGGTTTAATGCTGAACTAGCAATGGACAAGTAGAGACAGGCTTTCATATATAAACTTATCACAGGTTTAAAAACTCCAAGCGGAAAAGACCAAGGTTTGTTTTAGTCCGTACACGTAATCAAGATGGCTTTGTTGAAGATTGTAAGAGTACATTTAGAAGACTATTGCACGACATGGGTTTTGTATATGGCAAGCAGTATAGAAATTCCATACTATTAAAAAAACAAGAAATACTCGCTTGGAGGCGTCACTTTTTTGGGGAAATAAAGAAACCGAGAAATCAAGGAGCCAGTCTCATTTATATGAATGAGACGTGGGTTAATACAGGAACTACCAATGGACAAGTAGAGACAGGCGTTTATAAATGGACTCGAAGCGGAAAATGACCAAGATTTATTTCACAAAATAGTGCTGAAGATTGAAAGCATCATGAAGAGATGGACGGAGATCTATTTGAGAAATAATTTAGACATGTTAATATCGAATCTCCAAAAAAATAAAAAGTATGTGATTATAACGGAAAATACATCTTACCAATCTAGAAAACTAAATTTTCCCAACCAATATTCGGTCAAACAAGAACTTAAGGCTTTATGAAAAGAATATTTATTTTGAAGAAGATTACTTAAAAAAAGAACTTATGGGAACTGTAGATGTCATGGACGTATAAACACAGATGGACTCAATTATTTACATAAAATTGTTAAGTCAAAATTATTTCAATAGGTCACATTCTCAGCACCTTCAACTGTTGTCACGTTTTATTACAAAATTTCTTAATCGCGAGTCGCTGAAAATATTACTCCGTATTTTATACTCTACAGCTGCTATCAAACCAAAATAATAATTTATTGGTTAGATTAATATATTTAATTGTAATCAAAATATAAAGTGTGCACATAGTGTGCATTATCATTTAATAATAGCGTATAATAGATATCAATAAATTATTTTATATGTAGAAGCACTGAAAACTATTTATTTATAAGTGGCAACGGTTGTTTACATTTCTCTGTCTTATGGATCTACGTCAAACTTCAAATGCTGTTCCATGTTTGTTTATTTTTTAGTAAAAGTTGTTTTTCGATATTTTGGCTGTATTTTGAGTGATATTTGTGAAAAAGTGAAACAAAATAAACGAAATATTTACATCCCGAACTCCCAATTTCGTTTGTATAGTACATACAATTTACATTATTTAAGATGAGGAAATGAGGAAGCGTGTTTGTTTACATTTTAATAGGCGTACCATTGGGTTTATTCATGTTCATTAATGTCTTGAATAAGATATAAGTTCATGAAATTAGTAGACATTTTTAAATTGTAAGTAGACATCATCTGATTAAAAACGATCTGTTTAGTACCTTTTTAATTTAATATTTCTCGTGGATGCAAATAAATTAGTGAAATGAATAAAACTCATTTATTTTTCTATGTAGGTTTCCAAATAATATTGACGATCGAACTATTTTGGTAGCAAACATAGAAACATAAAGATTTTTTATTGTAGCATTATTTTGATACCTATTAAAAAATTAACTTGAATTCAACTATATTTTATTGTATTAATTTTAAAGCAAATAAAATTGTATTTTAATGTTTTCTATAAAGACGTGATTTGTTAATAGTTAAACTCTCGTTTTTTTTAATTCTGTTGAACGTGTTTTTATACATTATTACTACTTCGAATTTTTTAAAATCTGAATAATTACCCGCGAGTAAAAATTCAAGCACGCTTATGCTCATTGCGGAAGCATCACATTCTATGGAAGCTTCAAAACATTGTGTGTTAAAAGGTATGTTATTGCTGTGTCCATCTATGTTTATACGTCCATGGTAGATGTCCACATCCTAATACTTTGTCCTTATCTGAACCCAATAGAAATGGTGTGGAGTGAAGTGAAACGGTGCGTGTCCTCTAGGAATTATAGTTTTAAACAAAACTATAGGGATTAGAGGGAGCTTAAAGAAAATTCCTGTCAATAATTAAAGATGACACAGCCTCCTGGACCACCAAGTGTTATGTGTTTAAGTTTTTTTAGTTCCAAAAAGACTATGCCAGCTCATGTGGATGTTTAAAGAATGGCTTGGTTTGCAATTTGTCATGTAAAAATTGTGCTTCGTCAAATTGCAAAATTACTTACGCGTGTTCTTACTTATAAGCTTTACCTCTTGCATAAGGGAGGCAGAGACTCGTCGTTGTATGAATAGGATGCTTGCACTGCGAACTAGACCAGAATTTTAATAATTTTCGCAGAATGTACGCTTATTAAAGGATAAGTTTTTATATATGTGCTAATAATTGTGTAAAGTTGTACCAAATTGGCTTTTAGCATAGCTTTACGGCTTTAATACTACTACTGCTATCGGTTTACAGCGTTCTCCCACGCCTTCTGACTCCTAACCACCATTCTTCTCTATTTAACCATAGTCCTGGAAGGATTTCTCTTTCCTCTAGTTCTTTTTTAATTCCCTCTCTCCAGCTTCTTCTCTGCCTTTCTCTTTTCATTCTTCCTTGTGGTGTCCACGTAAAAATCTGTTTCGGAATCCTGTCATCTGGCATTCTCTGTACATGGCCGTACCATATTAACTGTTGTGTTTTTATGTCATCAACTATTGTATGCTTGACTCCCATCATTTCTCTTATTATCTCATTTGGTATCCGATCTTTTTTTAATTTGCCTGCTGCTCTTCTCCAGAAGTCCATTTCTGTTGCTAGTAACAGTTTCTCTGTTCTTTGTTTCATTGGCCAAACTTCACTGCCATATGTGATTACTAAAGCTCGGATTTATAGGCAACAAAAATTGAAGAAAAAGGCGCCTATATAGGCAAAGATTTTTATTAAAAAAGGCAGGAATATTAACATTTAGGCAAATATAGGCAATAAAGGAATATAACTTATTATTTATTGTACAAAGTAAATTAAACGTAATATTAACTTAAGGCAAGTATATTACACATCATAATCATAACATTAGTATAAATAAACTAGTAACTAAATAACTGTTAATTAATAATTAAACATTGTAACCACTTAAAATTTTATCATTAATAGAAACAACTAAATGTTTTTCAATATTTTCGGTCTTAAAACTATGTCTTCGATCACTTAAAATTAATTTGTACATTGAAAACGAACGTTCGACATCGACAGATGTAATTGGAGCATATTTCAGAGCGGATAATAAATCTGGCATAATTTGAAATTCCTCGGAAAATGTCCCATTCAAAACTTTAGCAACATTAGATAAATAACGAAAAACCTTCATTCTTGTCGACAACATATTTCATTTTTTTAAAAATTAATTGACCGTTACTTCCAGGTGCCGATTTAATTTTCGTCTTTAAATTATCTATTAATTTTACTGACTCACATAAATTTATCTCTTGTTTTTCTAATAAGGTAATTGTGGTAACTATTAATTTATAATTGTCATTGATATAACGAGTTCCTGTTTCAATTTGGGATTTTTTAATATTTTTTTTGCTTCTCGAATGGCTTCGGAAATATCATCATCAAATTCTGACATAACTAATTCTATTTCATTGCAGTGTTCAAAGTAAAAAAAGACTGCTTCGAGCCAGGTTCCCCACCTTGTAATTACTGGTTTAGGTGGCAAAGGGACACCGGGAAGTCTTTCTTTATATATTTGCACCCTCAACGGAGCCTTTACAAAAACTTTTTTCATAAAATTTATAAAATTATTTACCAACGGAAACAGATTTCTTATTTTCTTCAGCAATTCTATTTACCCGTGGGCTACACAAGTGCAATGAATTAAATTAGGATAAAAAATTTTTAAATTAACAGCAGCTTTTAACATATATGCCGCAGCATCTGAAAGCATTAAAACTATTTTTATTCACTGGTATAGCGTTGGGTAAAAAGAGGTTTGTTAAACTATCTTGTATAAATCGACTTATTGTTAAATTGTTTGTTTTTTTCCAATTCTTTAACGGCAACTAAATAAGGTTTTCTCGCAAAGTTTTCGTTCAAAATTCCAATCATTAAATTAGCTATATACCTGCGCATACATCTGTCGTTTCATCCACGATAATATACAAAAATTGCCCTCCAACTCGTGCTTAATTTTTGAAATACATTCCACATAACATTTTTCCACAGTATGTTTTCTCAATGTACTCTCGTCCGGTAAGGATTTATTAAGATATTTTTCAAAAAAGCGTTTAAAACTAGGGTTATTAACTTTATATAGAGGAATGTTGGATGCAATCATCATCTGGCATAAATCAAATTTAAATGCGTCTTCCTCCTTTTTTTTTTGAACTGCTTAAACTATCCCGCAGAGATGTTTGGGCTAACTTAGAGGAATTTAATTTTTCCAAATTACGTTTATGAAGTGGGGTTCCACAATGCTGGTCAATAAAGTACTTTTTTCTACTTGAAATCTGAGAATTAAAAAAAAATAATTAGAATTCTAAACCGCTTTAGAATTTAGTTATGTTGTGGGACGAGAAAAAAAGAAAAAAAAATAAAACTTACCGATTTGCCGCATGGTTTACAAAATGCTCCATCTCCTTCTAGAGAAAGTTCCGAATAAGGTGCGATCCATAGCCTTAATTTAGATGTCATCTTTTCACACAACTGTCTTGAACGTTTTAAAACGTGTTCTTTGCTTTTCGGTATACGCAACAAAACTAAACTAGGATATAGCAATTTGCTAATTTGTGAGTAAACTCTGATACAGTAACCGACTGTACAACTGATAATAAACTAATAAAGCTTAGGGATTTCCAAATAGTTAACCCTCAAGTCTCGATCAGGTACATTTTCCTAGAAATCTATTATATAAACAAACCATTGATATTTTATTATTGACCCAAAATTTTATTATAGAATGGTTTAGTAATAGAATAATATCATGGGTTAGTACCATGAAATTTAAAAAAGGCACAAATAGGCGGAATTTACGAAAAAAGGCAAAAAAGTGCAAAAAACACTTATAATAGGCAAAATAGGCAAAAAAAGGCATTTTGCCTATAATCCGAGCTTTAGTGATTACACTTTTAAGTATGGTGTTGTATATGAGTTGTTTGTTCGCTTTAGATATTGTTTGGTCCCACAGAATGCCGTTCGGCTTTACGGCTTTAATTAATTATCTAAATATTTATAGTTTCTGGCTAAACAACTACACAAAAATGTACCAACATAGTAAATTCAATCAGTACTAGAGAATAAAAATTGTAAGCTGTAGTGTTTTTAGACATCTGACAAGCATTGGCTTTTCAGTTTAAAATAAGGTGAACACTGACAAATCGGCAGAGGTAACATTTAAAATCAAGCATCCCCTTACATCTATAAGTTATAATAAATAATCAGCTTATCTGGTCAATTGATTTAGATAAAATAGTATCGTCAGTTTTCACGATGTCTAATGTATTCTCATAGTTTTTATTTATTATTTAAATATTTTGCAAATTAAATCTTGAGAAACGGAAAAGTATTATTATGCAATTCAAATTTGGGGCCTAAATCATAACGACTTAATCTTAATTTCAGATTTTACTTGGATTTCCAAGAAAACAAAATAACAAAAATCAATATTGGCATTAGTTACTCGGAAAGCCGATTTAATCAATGACTATTGAATCCGTTTGAAAACGGATTTCCTGTCGTTTAGAAAATCTTCATTATTTATTTTAAATGCTCAGACCGATATTATATTGCGAAAGTATTGTGAAAAACGTAAATAGATATACGTATATATAATATATATATATATATATATATATATATATACTATTATATATATATATTATATATATATAAATTATTCAACTAGTGAATTCAGAGGTTAATCGGTCATTAAGGTTGGCAAATAAAAAACAGAAGTCAACTACTTCATAAGTTTATAGAAAACGTTTCGCTTTATACTTCTAAAGCTTCATCAGTTCTCTAAAATACAAAGATGACATAGAGTTTATAGAAATACAGATATAATCATTTATTACTTAGAACTCAATATGTAGTATTAAAGATGTTAATAACTATGTAACTTAAGTTTACTCATTAATATAGAACTAACTTAAAAAAAAAAACCAGAAACAAAGAACACAAAAACTTTGCAAAAAATAATCTCATTCGCAGAAACGAAGATTTAACAAAATTTTTAAAACGTACATTTGGCTTCATTTAGAGATCATTCTCCAATGAAGACAAACCAAACACTGATTTATTGCAATCTCTGCAAACGACGTGACGCGGTATGGAGATATGGGACGATTGTGTAAATTTTGAACGGAAAATAAGGCTATTTTTAATGATGAATAATGGTATTATTTATTTCGTAAGATGAGAGAGTGGTAAACCTGGCTCAAATTCTCGATGTCGGTTCTTTTGTTTATTGCAGAAAGGGTTTTTTTAAGATCTCACACATTTCAATAAAGGAGCGTTTTTGATGGTTATTTTGTTTGGCCAGTATTTTAGTATTTGAGAAGTCGCTTTTATGTGAAGTTATACGCCCTAGAAGTGACCGACTGGTCTGGCCAATGTAGCAGGAATTGCATCAGAACAGGGAATCTGATCGACAACATTAGTGTGCTCTAAAGAGCTTAGCGGAGTTTTGGACTTGGAGATATAACTTTCCAATGGTTTTAGTGTTTTTTAAGGATATTTTGACGGGTAAGTTTTTGAATAGTTTAGTAAGCTTATTCGTAATTTGTGGGAAATAGGGAGAGAAGCATATTTTGTGACTGGTTTTGGTGTTAACAGGGAATTGTCCGTCTGTATGTTGTTGGATATGGATTTTTATATATAATTTTATATATATATATATATATATATAATATATATAATTTTATATATATATATATATATATATATATATATATTATATATATATATATATATATATACGTATATAGTTTATTTTCTGATCATTTGTGATATTGCGATTCTTGTTCTTCTTTGCGTGCCATATCAGAATTATCCGACGTTGGTGATCACCATTTCGAAGGCTTCTCGATCATCTGCAATATGGAATAATTGTCCTGCATTTGACATTTGAGTCCACTTACGAATAGTTTTTAAACCAAGAAACCATTTGTTTTCTTTCTACACCTCTACGGCCTTCTATTTTGCCTTTAAGAATATATATATATATATATATATAATATATATATATATATAGTATATATATATATTCGGTTTTATAACGTCTTACGACGTTGTCCGACTCCCAAACGCCACTGTATTATGTCTTGAGTGAGGTCTTTCGTCCAGATTTCGAGCGCTAATCGCTTTCCTTAACTCCCAGGTTCCAGCTCTGTGGTGTTCTTCCTCGTTTTCTCTTCTCTGGGGGTTGCCACATCATCGTTTTTTTTAGGCAATCTTTCGTCCCCCATTCGGCTCACATGTCCATACCATATGAGCTGTTTTCTCTCAATATCCTCAACTATAGTGCCCTCTTTAAGGATCAGTAGTAATATTTTATATCGACTTCCGCTAACTATATGTCCCAGATAGGACATTTTTTGATGTTTAACAGTCTTTAGCAAGTATTGACGCTCCTTAGTACTTATTCACTAGTTTTCCTTACTGTCTAAGATATCTTCAGCATTCGTCTATGAACCCACATTTCCAGTGCTTCAATTTTGTTCATGATCGATACTTTTAGAGTCCACACTTTTGCACTATACAAAGTACAGACCAAACATAATACTTTGTCTTAGTTCGAAACTGAGATGGCTATTGCAAAGAAATGACTTCATTTTTATTAAAATATCTATGTCCGTTATCACAGTTCACAAATATTTCATTTTGTAAACTTTCTTATCTTGGACTCCGTTACATTGAAGCTTTGCATCGGGATGTGGGTCACGACTAAACACTAAAAATTTGGTTTTGTTTGAGTTTATTTTAATGTCCATTTTCCTCTCTACCTCGTGAATACGATCAAGCAAAATTGAAGACCTTTAATATTATCTAATATAAATTACTGTATCTTCTGCTTATTTAATCACATTTAGTAGTTCCCTGTTGATTTTTATTCCATGTGGTGGTCTTTCAAATGCCTTTTAAATAACTGGTCTGAGTAAACATTAAACAATGTTGCCGACAAAATGCAACCTTGTCTGACTCTTGGTTGTATAGAGATTTCATCGGTGTAGTTATCTCCAATTTTTTACGATAGCAGTTTTGATTCCAGTACAAATTTTTATTGACACAAATTTCCTTGTCTTCTATTCCGATATTTTTCAGTATTTGCATTAATTTTACATGCTGTACTTTACCAAATGATTTTCGAAGTCCACGAAACATACAAATACATATTTTCTTTGAGCACGGCATTTTTGTAATAGGATGTTAATTGCAAGTATCTCCTGGATCCCATAGCATTTTTAAAACCGAACTGAGTATCTTCAAGATCTTCTTCACATATGCGTCTAATTCTGTTGTGAATTATTCTTAGGAAAATTTTAAGAGTGTGGCTCATTAGGCTAATTAATCGATATTCTGGTATTTTTCTTGCATTGTGTTTTTTATGTATTTAGACAAAGATGGATTTGAGGCAATCTGTGGAAATCACTCCGGTGTTATATATTAAATTAAAAAGTCTTGCTACTACTTTCATGTTATTATTTTCTATTAGTTTCAGCAACTCAGTTGGTGTATCATCTGGACCATAAGCTTTTCTAATTTTAGCATTATTTATAGCGTGTTGTACCTCGCATTTCATAATTTCTGGGCCGTCAGTACAGTTTTGGTGGAATTCGGCAATATTATTCCTGCCATTCTTTTCGTATTTCAACGTTATTATCGTCAACGAGTACAGAGGGAACTCGTTTTTTAAATATGTTACCCATTTCTTTTAGTTTTTTGTGCACATTAAATAAGTCGTGTTTATATATTACATCCTATATTTCGTCGCACCTTCCTTTCATCCATTTTTCTTTGGCTAATTTGATCTCCTTTTTTATTCTTTTCTGCAGGTGTCTATATTATGTTTCATTAGATTTTATTAGTCGACTTTGTTCCAATAATTTCAATATGTCGTCTGACATCCATTTATTTTTTTTATTTAGTTTTTTCTATAATCATTTTTTGCGGAGATTTCGATAATTTTGTTTTTAAATTCACTCCATAGTTCTTCTGGATCTTCTAGTCGTTTTCCGATGTTTTTATTCTATTGTTAAATTCTTTTTTCATGTTATGTTTTATGTTTATATCGTCAAAGTTAATTACATTGGTTTTTGGTTTTTGTCGCTGAATTCGTTTTAACCTTAGTTTAATATCTGCTACAAGTGGTTGATGATCAGGTCCAATAACTGCCCCAGGAAATGTAGTAACTTTTTTGACGTCATTTGATATTGCGGTATTGATTTATTTTCTCAGTTAATTGCAGTCTCTTTTAATTTTCTATGGCCTATCTAACATTATCTGTATCCACTTTCCGCCTATATTTGTTGGTACATATATCTTTTTTCTGTTTTCCCGTGTTAAGCTTAGTTAAGCCTTGACCTTTCTAAATCTGTTATTTCATTAGGGCCTATTTTTTGCTTCTTGTCAGTTTACCACATCCATTTGGATAGATTGGTCTACCTTATGGTCTAGTTCCCTAGGATTTTGCCAATGAAGTACGTCCTGCAGGGTAGCTTTCACTTGCTCTGGTCAGATATCTTGCCCACTGGAGGCATCTAATTTTTATTGCAAGAAGCACATATTTGGCTTCAGCCATTTCGTTGTATGGAAGTAGCAACGTGGCATATAAAGTGTTAAAGTGTTTAATTTTTTTGTCAGCAATAATTCCGAAAATTTCGAGAGTTGTCGCGAAGATGAAATACTAACTGACAGTACTAGGTGAATAAACAGGTGTAAAATTACAGCAAAAAAGTAATATTCGATGTAAAAGACAATACTGATAATAATAGAAAGAAGTGGTTATATTGAATAGATAAACAAAACAGCGGGTTTTAAGCCGACGTCCAAGATAAATATAAAGCGGTGGTACCAACATAAAGCTGTTTAGCACAGTTGTTTAACGTAAATAACAAAGTTTAGTAAGAAACTAATTGCAGTGAGAAGGGTGCATATCTCTGAAGGGTGGACCTGGGTATCAACTCATATCGCTTTGCAGAAAGAGAAAGAGAAAAATGTATTTAAGAAAACGATTAGATCGCCAAAAAAGTGATGATCCAAACCTAGATATGTTAGTCCAAATA